GTGTCACGATGCATCGTTACATCCCTGTCTATGAGCCCTGTTCTCTGTTTACTGTCAGAGTGAAACTACGTCTCACTCAGCTCACCTGTACTGCGCTGGTTAAATGAAACCCACAGGCAGATATTATCAGCAGATAAACACACAACTTTGGGGCGAGTGGAAACTATGACAACCCTTTAAAGCATCCTCCCGCAGCGTGGTGTGAAAGACACGCACAGACATGAAGACGTACGTATCGTCACATCTGTGGTGAACTTACTTGGAGATCCTGTCCATGTTTGCAATTTGTTTCTGGTTGCGGATGACCTCGATGGCCGCCCACACATACTGGACCACTTTGGGGTCCGCCTGCCTCTTCTTCACCACACGTGACATGATTTCCTTATTCATCACAACTGTGGGAAACAAAGAAAATATAAAATCAGCTGGTGTTTTTGGTTTTGCTTTCTGCGAATGAAAAGTGTAAAACTACCGATGAACCAATACCAGTGTTTATAGCATTGATAACAGCTGTGGTAATAGCCTTAATATAACAGTACCAGTGGCACTAGTAGAACCAGTAATAATAATAATATTCTTATATATCTCATAATGCTGCAAGAGGAAGTCCATAACACCAGTAAGTACTGCTCCCTCATCGCATTGAAGAATCAAACCCACGTGCTTCATGTAGCACTGAATGCTCTTAATAATGTGACATTACAAACAGTTGCACAATACTGCGTTTCCTATAAACAGGCCTGTACAGTCAAACTGCTTGTTGTTAATCTAAAAAAGCTCAAATGCTCCAAAATGTCACAGTATCATCACAGAAGTATGATTAAGAGTGATATTTAAGTGTTTCCAGGCTCGACACAACAGAAGACCAAACACATGGCGTTAGAAATGTTAAATGTTTGTCTGCCTAAAATATTTTTACAGGGAAACGTGATGAAGACGAACGTCATTGCGACAGTGTTGTAGTCATTTAAAGGGCCTGTGTGCAGTCAATGGGGCCGAGTACTGGCATTATCTGACAATATGATAAATATCACAATACAAGCTCGCAGACTGCAACTATCTGAATACAGCTCGGCCTTCCAGGCGTGTAGGCCGAAGAACGAGAGACAAACATTGGATTTGTCAGTTCTGGGCTACTGTAGAAACATGTTGGTTCAACCACCGGCTCCCTCTGTAGATCAAACCAACTTATTCTAAAGGCAACAGCAGTTCTGATGTTCAGGAGATCATACACTCATTAAAGTATAAATGTGCCATAACTAAAAGCATGTATTGTCCTGAGAGCAGTGTGAATTGTAGCTCTCTCTGTAAGTGTATTGTGTTGATGCTCAGTCCTGATGTTGGACTGGTTGATCAGGGAGACACACGCTGAGGTTGTTCCTGTCAGATAAAGAATCAGTGTTTTCTGAAGTGTGTGAAGGACGAGACGGCGGTCAGCTGGGACGCCGAGTGGACGGAAACACTGCAGAACCAGAAGAACCGCGCCTCTTTAAAACATCACTGACCATTAAACGGGATCGCCTGTCTGTCTGACGCCGCTCCTG